CTGTTAAATGCTTTACCACTGAGGCGGATTTGGACCCCCAGTGATCATGTGATCCTCTGCATGTTGTTTACTCTCAAAAATCATTCTCGGACACTTCCTTCCTCCACCACAAAAAAAAACGACGACTCTCTACTCTCTCAAATGGTCAACTACGCTCACAAGTCAATCATCATTTCCGATGTGCAACCGACTGGCTCTCCTCAAAAGCATTCATTTCAAATAGTTAAAAAGACTACATTATGGAGGGGACAAAGGTCAGATACTCGTGTACCAAAGATGAATCTCGTGCCCGCCTGGAAATCATCAGAATATTCATTCTAGAGGCAACTTCAGACTTCATTCAAGTTGATCAAGAGCTACTTCTGGAAGGCAAGGATTACAAGAAAGGTCTTCAAGATTCCTCAACCCCCGGCATCAAAGATCAAATTGCCAAGAAGACATCAAAGGGGAGATTGCAAGGATTTCTTCAGAAAGCCTTCTTAAGAAGTCGAGTTCAATACGAAGACAAAGGAAGCTGAGCTGCACTGAAGATCAAGACAATAGAGGAGTTTTTTTTATCGGGAAGGCAAACCACCAAAATCAGTGGGGTAAATGCCGGGAGTCAGATACCATGATTTTATTAAAAATATGACATATTACGAGAAGGAGGGGGCTATACCAAAACCTCTTACAAAAAGAATTGAAATGAAAAAAGAAATCAATATCATCGGAAGGAAAAAACCAGACTTGAAATTACAAAATTAATGGAAACGTAATGCGGCTATACCAAAAAGATCCATAAAATTGGCCCGCTTTGCCATCATAGGTAAGTTTTCCGGTCTGGAAAATTCTTTGAATGGCCCAGAATGAATTGGGCAAAAAACTGCGCAACACCATTTACTTCCCGATACGCATGCTTGAAAGATAACTCTTTCCTATTTGCGAGCTGTATAGTTTCCTGAATAAGGGTTTTCCATTTTCTCACCTCTGGATCCAGGAGAAAGCTTACCGTTGTAGCTTAGTCGGTTTCCACCTTAAACTCACCGTGGCCTGCATCCGTCGCCCAACGAATGGCTCTCGAAATGGCTTGAATTTGTGCTTTCAGTGCTGAAGCTGCCTCTAGTTCGAAGCTATCTGCACAAACCAGATGAGCGCTTCGATTCCTCATAATCGCACCTCCCGAAGCCGAACCAGATAAGTAACGAGACTCTGTATTTAATTTCATCACTCCATTCGTTTTCGCCACCTTTTGAATTAAGTTTTCATCATACAGAATCTTATCAACTGAGTGCACTTTAATCCCCTTCAGTGATTGAGCCCAGGTCTAATTATACTGCTTGATAGAAATGATTATACCTTCCGTGGAAGTATTAGCATTCCCTTCTCCCCACTTGAAACCATGTCTGAAAATCAAAAGGAATATTTATGTCTAACGACAAATAGATCTGGCAATAAATACATTTCAGAAAAATGTCAGCATATTCCTCCGGACTATATTATACATATATCAGTCCAATTGAGATAAATGTGGTATCTAAAATTAATGACCACAATTCCTTTATCATGTGGCATGACCGTTTAGGTCATCCAAGCAGCACTATGATGCACAAAATTATTCAAAATTCACTTGGGCATTCACTAAATAATGTCAAAATTACACAATCAAGTGATTTCTCGTGCACTGCTTGTTCTCTTGGAAAATTAATTATCAGACGATCTTTATACAAAATTGGAGTTGAATCTCCTGCATTTTTAGAAAGAATTCAAGGAGATATTTGTGGGCCAATTGTCCCTCCGTGTGGACCTTTTCGATACTTTATGGTGCTCATTGATGCATCAACACGTTGGTCACACGTCAGTCTTTTATCGACTAGAAATTTTGCATTTGCAAATCTCCTTGCTCAAATTATTTGTTTGAGATCACAATTCCGGATTATTCAATAAGGAAAATCCGACTTGATAATGTGGGAGAGTTTACATCCCAATCTTTTAATGACTATTGCATGTCAATTGGGATTGATGTGGAACATCCATTTCCACATGTGCATACACAAAATGGTCTTGGTGAATGCTTAATTAAGCGATTACAATTAATTGCTAGACCATTATTGATGAAATCCAGATTACCATCATCTGCATGGGGATATGCTATAATGCATGCTGCAAATTTAATTCGGCTTAGGCCAACTGCATATCATAAATTTTCCCCATTGCAATTAATATCTGGTAAAGAACCAAATATATCACACATAAAAATATTTGACTGATCTGTGTATGTACCAATTGCTCCACTTTATCGTACTAAAATAGGTCCTCAAAGAAGACTGGGAATTTATGTTGGTTTTAAATCTCCCTCAATTATTAATTATCTAGAACCTATGACTGGTGACTTATTCACCGCACGGTTCGATGACTGACGTTTTGATGAGACGGTATTCCCAGCCTTAGGGGGAGATAATAGAGAAATGGACCCACGTACAAAATATTACTTGGAAGGCAACAAATTTATCTTTTCTTGATTCTCTCAAAAATGCTTGTGAACAAGAAATTCAAAAGATCATTCATTTACAAAATGTTGCAAACCAATTGCCTGAAGTTTTCACAGACTCAAAGAAAGTGACAAAGTCACATATTCCAGTTATGAATGCTCCTTCTCGAATAGAAATTTCTGTGGAGATTAGCGAAAGAACTTTTGCTAATGAATCTATGATACGTGAAAAATGTGGTAGACCACTTGGTTCAAGAGATTTGAAACCAAGAAAATTTAAGAAGCAAGATGTAGTTTGTGATGCCAAAGAAGCTCAACCTTCTCAAGAAGAAAATGAACATTTTGAAAATATCGGCATTGAAGATAACATCAATAATAATGATACCTCAAAAGAGGATCAAATCACCTTTGAAGAGGTAAATATTCCAGATAAAGATAGAAACGTTGATAATTTCAAAATTTCAATCAATTATGTTTCTAATGGAATACAATGGAATAGAAAAGATATTGATGTTAATGATATGTTTTCATATGCCATCGCCACAGATATCATGAATGAACACAATGACAATGAGCCTAAATTTATTGATGAATGTCGTCGTAGAAACGATTAGCCAAAATGGAATGAAGCGATTCAGGTAGAACTAAAATCGCTAGAAAAGCGTAATATTTTTGGACCAATTGTCCACACGCCAAAATGTGTAAAACCTGTAGGTTTTAAATGGGTGTTTGTGCGTAAACGCAACGAGAAAATGAAATCATTAGATACAAAGCCCGACTTGTTGCTCAAGGGTTTTCTCAAATGCCAGGAATCGATTATGATGAGACGTATTCTCCAGTAGTTGATGCTACTACTTTACGATTTTTAATTGGCATGTCTGTTTTTGAAAGGCTGCAAATGCGGCTAATGGATGTACTGACCGCATATTTATATGGTTCACTCGATACAGACATATATATGAGAATTCCTGGAGGCTTTAGAATACCTGATGCTTATAGGAGTTATAGCTCGAAATCTCGAGATTTATTTTCCATAAAATTGCAAAAGTCATTATATGGATTAAAACAATCTCGACACATGTGGTATAACCGTCTAAGTGAATATTTGATCAAAGAAGGATACAAAAATGATCCTATTAGTCCATGTGTTTTCATTCAGCGATCTGAATCAGGATTCGCCATAATTGCAGTATATGTTGATGATTTGAATATAATCGGAAATCCCAATGAAATTGAAAATACTACTAAATATCTCATGAAATAATTTGAAATGAAAGACCTTGGGAGAACAAAATTTTGTCTTGGCATTCAAATTGAACATTTGAGAAATGGTATTTTTATCCACCAATCAAATTATACCGAGAAACTTTGAAGCGAATTTACATGGAAAAAGCTCACTCACTCAATTCTCCAATGATGGTTCGATCTCTCAGTGTGCATGATGATCCTTTTCGACCTTGTGAAGATGATGAAGAAATCCTTGGTCCCGAAATACCATATTTGAGTGTTATTGGAACGTTAATGTATTTGGCTAATAATACCCGACCAGGTATTGCTTTTTCTGTAAATTTATTAGCCATGTACAGTTCTTCTCCGTCAAGAAGACATTGAAATGGCATCAAACATATATTCCGCTATCTTAATGGTACAATCGATCTTGGATTGTATTTCAAGAATGGTGCAAATGCCACTTTAATTGGCTATGCCGATGCATGATACTTGTCTGATCCACAAAAGGCAAAATCACAAACAGGATATGTATTCACATATGGTGATACCGCTATCTCATGGAGATCGATGAAGCAAACATTAACTGCCACATCATCAAATCATGCAGAATTAATTTCTCTTTATGAAGCAGGTCGATAATGTGTCTGGTTGAGATCAATGATCCAGCACATACAAAATGAATGCGGAATAAAATCTTTTACTTGTAATTCTACTGTGATTTATGAAGATAACACAGCATGTATAGCTCAGATCATAGGAGGTTACATCAAAGGGGATAGAACAAATCATATATCACCAAAAAAATTCTCCACACATGATCTTGAGAAAGAAGGAACAGGTTATGTCAAACAAATCAAGTCCTGCGACAATCCTGCTGATTTATTCACAAAGTCATTGGCACCGAAGAAATTTGAAGAACTGGTCCACAAAATTGGAATGTGTCGTCTTCGAGATATATGTTAAATTGAGGGGGGGTAATATAATGCACTGCACTCTTTTTCCCTTCGCCAGGTTTTTATCCCACTGGGTTTTTCCTGACAAAAGTTTTTAACGAGACAATACATTATACTATGAAACTAATACCCATGAATAATTGGAAAATGATCATTCAAGGGGGAGTGTTGAAAACTTGAAATATAATGAATTAGTCATATCCTAACTATTCATGATTAATAAGTCATTATTATCATTATCAAGATAATCTAGAAATCACAATTATGATTTCTAGATAATGATTATGTGGCTAATATTAATCCCTCATCTTGAGCTAATCACTTGTTTAGCCTATAAATAGAGGCTCTTTGCTTCATTCAGTTCATTGTAAACACACCATGATTATACCATTATCACACTCTCAATAACATATTTATCACTAAATGTTCATACTATCTCTCCCTGATCTTATGCTTATTTTCTTCCATTTCATAACACTTATATATATATATATATGTCTAATGTCTTATACATACATAGGGAGATAACTTTTCTCAAACAACTAGAGAGATCAAAAGTGTCGTCCGGTCACCTCCATTTGAAGTGCTTCCAGTAAAATCTCTCATTCTCTCAATGACATTTTGTGAACATATTTTTCATGAAGTGTAATTATGTCAACATAAAATCCAATCAAAAAATCAGTTACATAAAGTATTAAAAACACTGTGTTTGTATATATATTTTCACTATATATTTTAGCGCACATATTCACATAATTTATTTAACTGACTTCTCAATTGTGTTAAGATGAAATTTTGTAAACATTATCTACATTTTATGAAAAACATGCTCACAAAAATTCATCCAAAAGTTTCACCGGAAAGCACCTCAAATGGAGGCGGACGAATGGCACTTCAGATCAATCCACATGTATGAAAAAGTTCTCTACATACGAAGGTGTTTCATCCAACCCAACACCACCAAAAGCTAATACGAATAAGTGCACATAATTGAAATTTTCCCAGTATAAAATAAGGAGTTCTTGGCAATGGAACGGATGAGAATGATTTAATTACACCACTACCACAACTTCCACAACTAGAATAGCAGTTCCAAAAACTGCCTGCCTGCAGATACAGTGTGAGAGCCTAATTTACTTGCTCAACGGTGGTAATAAGGCCCCACTAGAGTTTAAGGCCCTCGGTACTTCCGGAAGCAAAGACAGCCTTGTTGTTGATCAACTGGGATCATACCCCCTCCTTTTGAGGTGTCAATAGCTTCCAGCATGGACACCACTTCGTCCATCTCAGGCCGCCTGTCTGGGTTTGCATCCCAACAGCGTTTCATCACATTCCCAAGGGAATTCGGGCAGCACCTTGGTATTTCTGGCCTCAGATTCTGCAACAGGAACAACATTAAAAAATTAGCCTTTTTAACACCAAAATACTAGGGTTTTAAGGATGGCAACTATTTGGGTCATGGTGGCAAGTAAAAAGGCAAAAGTGAAATAAATATAGGAGGGCATCAAGGAAACCAAGTCATTCACACCATTTTACTTTGTTGGAATGCAAAATTATCAGTTATTTGATTAGGATGGAGTATAATACTTGGGATATATAATGAGAACAAAATAAGCATATACCTGACGAACCACGGCAGAAGTAACTTCTGAGAAACTCAGATCAGGATATGGCATGTCACAGCAATAGATCTCCCATAAACAAATGCCAAAACTATATACATCGCATTTTCTATTATATGGGTTTCCATTGAGCACCTGTTTGTTCGTAAAAATTTCAGTTTTATCAATAATATGGAACATATATTCAAAAAACTGGGATTTGGAATCAAGAGTACAAAATATGCATTTCAGTCATCACTCATTAGCATCAAGTCATCTTAAAGCATGAAAACTAGTATCATCTCAATTGAATTGTATAAATTGTTTGACAATTTGCATTCCAAACCTTTTCTTGAGAAACCACTCCTCCATCCTAAAAAAAAGTCATATGGGAAATTGCCCTAAATAGGAGCAAATGAGATTTGGAATTCCAAAATAGGACTACTATGTTTTTCTTCCTGAAATAGGAGTTGTTCCTGCCATGTATGAAAAATACTGCCATTAATTATAATAAATATTGTCATGTTAAATGCATTGTACTGCAACTATTTGGCAGTCACGCCTACAAGATGACAGTAAATACTGTCATGTTAATCCTATTATGGGAATAAAAACATAGTAGTCCTATTTTGGAATTTCAAACTCCATTTACTCCTATTTTGGGAAATCTCACTAGTCATATTTGAAAACTTATTTTTTCCCAAAAAAAGAGTCTGATTTGAACAAAGTAATCTAATTGTTTTTACATTTAATTTAATGTATTTTTACAAACCAAGAAAAATCATCCCAAACTAGTATGTTAAGTGTAGTTAAGCCAACAAATAAATTCAAAATATAATATAGCTAGAGGTGATGATTTTGAATAGTTGAACTTTAGTAAAATTAAATGGTTGAGCATTGGTGAAACGAGGCTCATTTTTACTGTGCATGCAAGCTAATGTGTACATTTCCAGTGCCCTTAGGATGTTTTCTTTTGGACTGAAATTTGCTAGTCTGGTCTGATCTGGTCTAGTCTAATTTGGTCTGGTTTGGTCTTTGTGTATTTTATAATTGTCCAAATCTAGTCTGGTTTGTTTAAGTAACTGTCCAAGTCTAGTCTGATCTGACATGTTTAAGTCTGGTCTGGTCTGATCTGGGTCTGAAAACTGTCAAAAAGAAAACATCCTTATTTAAAATTTCCCGTGTGCAATCGAAGGGCACTCGAACTACTCAAGAGGCCTGCTAAGGTTTGTGCAAAAACCTACCTCAGGGGCCATATAACCAAGGGTCCCGGTCTCTCCCGTCATATCATTTGGATTCGAGGCTTCAACACGAGCAACCCCGAAATCTGCTATTTTTACCGTCCGTGTCTTGTCCAATAGCATGTTCTCTGTCTTTACATCGCGGTGTACTATCTTTTGGGAATGAAGATAGCTTAACCTGCAGAAATTGATGGAGTGCATCTAATTACTTTAAAACTTGGAAAATGGGAGAGAAAGGGGGAAGGAAAGTGTTTTTTTTTATATTTGGTTTACCTTCGAATATATGAATAGGTCAAATTTTATAACTTTTGAGAAAATTATAAATATTTAGATTTATTAGTCTTTAGACGATATATACATTTAAACAAAATTAAATTGAACAAATATTTAAAAATGATAATATTGAGTTTGAAGAATTTTTTATTTCACCCCACATATTCTTCCATTCAAATTCCACTCCATCATTTTCTGGAGCTAAAGACTCACTATTTTTTTGCTTGCAATGTAGCGGTCAGTCCATGCAATTTTCGACGCGATTTTGATCATAGGGAAAGGTTTGTACATCCAACCCCCTTACACCAGTATTGGTGAGAGCCTTTGTGGCACTGGAGTAATGTTGTTGTTGTTTTTATTCTTCCATTCAAATTTTCCATATCATCCTCCTTATTTTCTTTCCTAGCTCTTTCCTAGTAAATTGGGATGCTTGCTTTGTTTCCCTTTCCGTCAACCTCCATTCCACAAGCATTGGCGTGCACAACACCGTCTGGCCTTTCTATGTCAACTTTCTATAATTCATTCTGGGCTACTTTAGATTTAGGGTTATGCTAAACTCACCAATAATTTAAAAGAAATGACATGGAAATTTGGGTTGGAGTTATGTAATCCACATTAGTTTTTTATTTATTTAATGGAGATGAACTAAAAGGCAAACAGCGTAAGTCACCAGGATGAATAAGAAAAAATAATAATAGCCTAAATGATAATATTTGTATGAATCATCATCATCTTAAGCCAAAAAAGCGCAAATAATCCATGAAAAATTTACCCTCTGGCAAGGTCAAGGGCTATCTGTACTACAACTTTGAATGCCAGTTTCTTTCTTCTGTTCTTTATAAGGTAAGATTTTAAGGCACCGCCTGGAAGGTATTCAACAACAACACAGCAGATGTTACTGGGCATGCCAATCAGACCAGTTTCTGTCTGTATATTTAACCCTGAAGAGCCCATGGTTGCCCCTATAAACTGCAGTGGGAAGAGAAACGAATGTACCCATTAGCAACTTATTAAAAATAATCAGTTGAATCTAAGGACAAACAATAGCACGTTGCAGTCTTTCTAAGATATTTTGGTTCAAAAAGCTGGTACAATCTATCCTAGACATTTCTATAACTATGTGGTCACATGTTAAGCAAAAGAGCATTCGAATATACTACAACAAGAAAACAAAAATTAGCATTTGAATATACAAAATGCTTACTTGTGGTTAATCATTTGCAAATATGCAACCATTTGAAGGAGATGGGTTTACAAACAAAATTTTAATCAGAATATGTTTCCATGACAACTAAAAATGTGCATACAGCTGTACTGCTGTAGTAAGAAAAGATTTGACAATAACATGATACGTGGTGAAAGAATAGGTCTTGCAAGTTTTCAGCATAGTTATAGTCTCCCCTAACAAATTATGGAGTGCAGTCATTCACTCTGATCATAATTCTACATCATGAAAGGTAAATTACCGGTGTGCTGTTCAGCCACAAGAAAATAATAGTTTTGATACAAAAAAACTACTTTAGAAATTATTGTTGTATTATTACATATATATTCATCTAATGGACTTTCCTCTTTATCGTCAACGACTGCTTTGTACACTATTCTACCATGCAGGACTAACTATCTGAAGCATTACTCCCTCTATCCCGAAATCATCTTCCATCTTTCTTTTTTCGTCCATCCCAAAATGATCACTCATTTCATTTTAAGAAAAGCAGAATGCGGTTCACAAATCACAGTATTCCTTTCTTCTAAACAAATGCCAACAATAAAGTTTTCATTTTCTTAAACAGTTAAACCCTGTGCCAGTCATTGTTGGCAAGAATTTCCCAATGAGGGAGTATCTTTTGTTATATTAAGAGATGTATTAGAATTGAATTGCAGAATAAAATGCAGCATCAACTGAATCATTCTTAATAGATACACATTTGTCCTAAATTAAACTTCCACCTTTGACTTTTAGAGTCAACATTTGCTAACTTTGATTGTTTATAAGAAAATAATCTTGGAAATTTTGTTATATTATATATTATTGAAATAATAATTTATTATACATTATATATACACAACTCTAATGATAATAATAGTCAAATAAAGACATAGAAGACCGTGAAAGTCAAAGTGGGAAGTTGATTTTGGTACAGAGAGACTAATAGAAAATTTCTAAATATTATAAATAAAGCATTACTCAACAGGTAATGCAAAGCATATTATATCATGTGCATTGATTAAGTTACTTGTGGGTATAGTGCTTGATAGTCTACATCCATGAGAGCCTAGATGATATGGTCCACAGGGGTCTTAGGGTGTAGCCGAATGACAAAATAAGAGTGTGTTTGGATGACTGATAGGATCCTGGGCTGAAGAGAATAATAATAAGATAATAATAAATACTACCTCCGTCCCACTAACATTGGGATGGAAGGAGGTGGCACAGCTTTTAAGAAAAGTGGATTTTTGTGGTTGATATTGAATTAATAAAGTAAGAATAGAGTAAGAATGATTTAGAACCACACAAACTTTACCAAATTTGGTATGGGACCATCTTAGTGGGATTTTCCGAAAAGGTAAAATGGGACAATCTTAGCGGGACTGAGGGAGTAGGTGATAGTGTGTATAAGAGGGTCCAGGTCTGGTATTAATTAGCTATGGGCCGGCCCGTAAGAAAAATAATATAAGGTGAGCTGGGGGTAAAAGAAAGGTAGGCAGATATTCTGTTAGGCTTGGGCTTGGGAGACTGCTCGAAGTGTCTCAAACCTGTCATCCTTTCTATTTTTCTGTTTACGTTGGTTTCCCGACTGTTTTCTGCCATTGTAATACCTGAATAGTCTGAGATTTTCCTCAAGATATTACTAAGTTTTCTGCTGCGTTTGGGAGTTCCTATCAATGACTTATTCAAAACATGTCTAGGAGAAGAAAAGTACTTCAGATTCAAAAAGAAGCTTTTGGCAAGAAAAAGTAAAAACAGGACACTTTCAGCACTTATTTTTAACATAGCAACAAATTGGCACTTTTTCAAAAAAGCACTTTAAGTGCTTCAATGAGAATCCACTTGATAAAAGCGCTTATACCATATGTTATCCCTAACAGGCTCTAAACCATTTTCAAGGCAGTTAACCAGCAACACTATGATCTCATCTCCCCCATCTACACAAGGCCAATTCAGAATTTCCCAGCAAGAGTAGCAAAAAGAGTTCATCAGTTTTGTATTACAGATCTCAGAAAAGAGATGGAATGGCACCTTAGTAACATTAGGATGGTCAAGCTTATGCCATACTGCAACTTCTTGAGTAAAAGCCGCCCTCAAAGATGCTATTTCAGCCTCCGTCCGGTGTCCCTCCTCTCCCCAGTCTAGCAGTTTAACTGAGAATCAGTGCACAATAAATAAATAAAAACATTAGTAACTTCTTTACTCAAGACATAAATAATACCAACATTTTTGGGGTAAAAGACTAAATGAAACTGATTTTGTAATGTAGATAGGCTGCAAGGTTAAAATAATATGCCATATGGGCTGTGAAGTCCCACATGTTCTGATTTTTTTACTCGTTATAAACACTTTAATTCAAACTAGTTGGTGTTCGTTACATAAAACTTATAATATCAATTAAATTTCTTAAATTAGTGAGCATTTCAAGAGTCGAATTAGTAAGATTCATTTGGCCGCAATGGCTGAATCTACTGAAAATTTATCAGAAAAGTGTTTGGTGAAATTGATTTTACTTATTCTAAGATAAGGTTCATCATATTTGTTCTACCAAACATGGACTAAGTTAATGCATATTACTTTGCCTCCTTTTTCCTTTTTACACTAACTTTGACATAAAAAAAGAGGTGGTGTTATATTCAAAATATTGTTCACCTGTATGGGAAATATCATGTCACCGCAATGAGTTCTGGTTTTATTAATAAATATTTTCACAATAATGGGGGCAACTAACTAACCTAAGTGTCATTGTATGTTGGAAATGTTGTGCTCTAGCAACATAAATCTTTAATTCTACTATTCTAGGTTTGAAATTTCATATTGAGTTGTCATCCTCTCAGATGAAACCAAAATGTATTAATATTAGTTAGATTAAATGGAATATGAACCGCAATGAAACAAGGCCCTCACTCATTGACTCATTGTATATTGGAAATGTTATACTCTAGCAACATAAATCTTTAATTTGCAGTTCTCATCCTACCAAATGCAACCAAAAAAGTATTAAAAGTATTAATATTAGTAGGATTAAATGGAATATGAAAAAATGCCCTCACATAATAAATGCATAAGTGCATAACAACATTCATCTTTATTTGTAACAAATGATGGTCCAGCAACAATACTGGTCTACTAGACGCTATCCCAATTTTTAGTTTTTACTACATATTTTACTTCATGCCCCCACCACATATGCTTACATTCACAAAAAAAGAGTTCATAATAGCTTTGCTGATACCTGCCCCTGCCACAATTGTTTAGTTGGCCAAATAATATAAAAAACTATTTCCTTCCTCCATTAAAATCATGTCATTAGGTGGGAATAATACTCCATTAAGTACCCCAAGTATTTCCCAACTCACTTGCATTGGTTAACATAAATACAAGGGATAAAAAGACAAAACAAACAATGACAAGAATAGGTAAATGAACAAAATCTTCAGGTCTTGATATAGCGGTGGCAGTAGTCACATGTAGACAAGTATTAATGGTTTAAATTACTTTATACTTGACTAGCAGCTTGGATCACATGAAAGTTCTTACTATGTGAATACAGCCCATCTGCAATTCGTGATCAACCCAAACCCGTGCAGCAAATCACGGATTGCGTAAGAAACAGTCCTTAAAAATAATTATAAACTAGATCATAGAGCGAATGACTATCTACCGTTCCCAAAACAATAGCATATATTCCGTTTATAGATAAATATTTAAATAAATTAAATAATAATTAGTGTGTCAGTGGTAAAGATGACTGTTAATATAAAGGGCCGAGGATACTAACTAATATTGTACCGACTAGATTAAGACGAATCTGAGTGGAATGAATCATTTATTCTGCCATTGATTCTATGCATTAATGATTTATGAACCTTGTCAACTACCATTTCGTTTCTCCATCCGAATTGTAAATATTCCCAGAGTAAAAAGCATCAGTTACAATATTGAACCGGGTATTGGTTGATACTCCCTCATTGATTTCAGCATTACTAAAAGTAAGTATACGGCGTGAGGGGCGGGGAGAGTGGAAATTGTGAAAAGTAGAGAGGTAGGTTAGCACTGACCGGCAACATCTTGAGCGTCGTAAATGCCACGGTGGACAGTGCCGAAGGTTCCACGGGCAAGGACAGTTTTGATGATGAGCTTAGTAGTGTCAATCTCCCAATCAAACCTGAGGGTGGCAGGGGCGGTGGAGGCGGGGTGGTGGAGGAGACTGGAATCGTCCTGCGTCAGTCTCTTGGTGTTATTGTCCATAGTCAAAGCTCGATTGAGATGCCTCTCAAGCTGCTCGTCCAAACTCTTCAAATCAATCTGATCAGCCCTCACAAATCCATCACTGCTTTTCTCCATCCTCAAAACCCTCTTTCCAGATTTACTTACCAACTATGAAGATGAAATAACAATATAAATAAAAACGTTAATCGGGGCAGCTGCATGTGGGCGGGCACATGGAATTGCCTCAACACAGCTGCCTAGTGTTATACTGACCCACAACTTCTCTTTCTTTTTTTATATACTACTCCACTCTGTAGTACTCCGTATTAATTGAGAGGTCCTGTCGCCCCTCTAATAGCTATGAAGCTTATAAGTAGTACTCCGTATATCATACGGAGTACGATACAAAAATTCCTTTTGTACACTTTTTATACACATGAGTACGTCCTCACGGCGTCTGTGAGAGTTTTTTTTTTCTATGAATCCCAGTTCACAAACAAAAAGTGGTTTGTTTTGTCTGTAGAATTTTTCACGTACAAAATAAACCAATTTTTGTCTGTGGATTGAGATTCACAGACATCGGGATGTATTGATGTGTATAAGAAGGTGTACACCAAGAATTGTTGTAAAATTACTCTCTAAAATTACTTTTATTATACAAAAAAAATGCTCCTCAACATACATCATACATTTGTTTTAGAGAAACGGCACACTTACCATTAGTAAACGGGAGTGATCATTTTTAACTGATTCCACTTCATATTATGAATGAATAAATGAACGAACTAGCTAGTTTTTTTTTTGAAAGGAGCAACTACGTGGTTCGGAACAACATAATGTGAGTTTTTTCCGAATTAATGCGGATTAAATAAGTATTCCAAACCGTTTGGCGAATTTCCCTTTGAACAGACAGACGGGTCGACCAATCCAGATAGAACGCAGCTTCCCTTCCCCAAAAAACCTGTGCAGCAAAAGATGATTCTTCGAGCTTCTCTCCATTTCCAGCGACTGCATCGACGACGAGACCCCTCCACCTTGTGAAGAATACCTTACCTCCATCTTCTTTCCTCTAGGTAAATGAACTCCATTTCATCTCATTTTTCATGTTAGGGTTTAGAATCTATAAATTTTGAATTTGTGAATTAGAAATTGATTTGTGAATTGATTTGATGTGTAATGTGGATATGTATGAAATGTTGAATTTAATGTAATGTTTAAATTTTGTTGTGGATTTTTTGTGTAATGTGAATTTTAATGTAATGTTTTGATTTTTTTTTAAATGTAATATTTTGCTTTTGTTAAGTGTAATTATATAATATAGGATTCGCTAAAATATGAGAGTTTTTTAATATGTTATTATGTCTATAAAGTGATGAATTTGGGTGTATAAAGTGTGTATATTAGTGTGTACTCATCAATTATCGTCATGTATTGTTATTAGGATATGGATTTCTCCAACTTCTCAATAGTGTGTCATTGTAGAGGGAAATTATTTGAGAAAGCAGGGGGAATACGCTATGAAGGTGGTAGGAGACGGATTGTAGTTGTTTCTCGTGGCGCATGTATGCTAGAGATGTTGCAAAAAATATATGCAGCTACACAGATTCCTCCAAGCCATTCTTTGCAGGTGCAGGTGAAATATCCCCTTCACGGGGGGGTCATGCATGCTTACGCCACATGGTGATGAGGAAGCTGTCACATAATGTGGATGATAGTTCAGATGATGACTATGTCCATAATGGAGATATAAATTGTAGATTCCATAGGTGACGCTTTTATAACTCCGTCAACATAAAATGTTGTTGTATCTAGGCATGGTGTTAATGCAGCGGTCTCCTCAAATGAGGCTATTTTGGACATGGTTGTAGAGGAGGATGGGAGGTATTTGCACAATGGTGCATCCTTTTTGGATGGCCATGGAACTGGTGATGATGCTGATGAACACATCAATGATGATGCAATGACAGAATCATATGAAGATGATGGTGATACTGTGATCCAAACTGCCCCGTCTAGCCACTATACTAGATTTTATGATCTCCCATCCGACTTTGATGATGTGTGGAGTGGAACATGTGTGAACAGGTTTACACCAGACGGTGAGTTTGAGATTGGTCAACAGTTCGACAACAAAGAACAACTCATCAATATGGTGAGCTTGTATTCTATCAAACGCAACCAATTTTATCGTGTGTTGGAGTCAGATAAACATAAATGGGTTACAGAGTGCAAGAGAAAGAAGGAACGTGATTGCACTTGGAGAATGCGGGCCACAAAGAAACATGCAAGCCTTGACATGTTCATAGGTGTGCGTTATCATGTACCTCATTCTGCTACTTGTGTTGGCAACAATGACAGTGATGATCATGTGACGATTACTTCAGATGTTATTGCCTGAGATGTAATTGACCTTCCTCGCATTGATCCATCCCTTAAAGTTCATACTATTTTTGAGTTGCTGGAGGAAAAGTATGGTTACAGGGTTTCGTACAGACGAACATGGTTGGGAAAACAAAAGGCCATTATTGAAATATTTGGAGGTTGGGAGAAGTCATATTCTGAATTGCCCTATTTCATGGCAGCGCTTCAACATTCCAATCTGGGGACAATTGTGCACTGGTACCCACCCCTTACAAGTCTGACTGAGTGTGTCCATTTTCATAGAGTCTTTTGGACATTCAATCCTTCTATTCATGGTTTTAAGCATTGTCGACCAGTATTGACTATTGATGGCACACACCTGTATGGGAAGTACAAGGGTACGTACATTACTCGTGGCTATGGGTAGCGATGCAAACAATCAACTCTTTCTTGTGGCCTTTGCATTATGTGAATCAAAGAATGAGGACAGTTGGCCATGGTTTATGGCATGTACTCGGGTGTTTGCAACTAAAAAGGAATTATGTGTCATTTCTTATCAACATCCAAGTATTATAAAGGCAATGAAGGAGGTGGGGAGTGGTTAGGAGGAGCCCTTTGCGCACCATAAGCTATGCATGCGTCATCTTTCATCGAATGTGCACACCCATTTTAAAGACATTCACATGAGAAATATGTTTGTTTGGATGGCACGGCAACATCAGGAAAAGAAATTTGATGGTGGGTTCAACAGGATAGGCGAAATGCGGGTGGAGGCCCGATAATTTCTGGAGAACATTCTCTTGGAAATGTGTTCATTACACCATGATGGGGGGGTACAGATACTGTAATACCCGAGATTAATTTAAGAGGATTAATAGTACGACTCATACCAACAAAGGTGCATCTCGTTTTAAGGAAGCTCATCACCCAAGAACTCCAAAGTTAAGCGTGCTTGCACGGGAGTAGTCTTGGGATGGGTGACCCCCTGGGAAGTTTCTCGGGGCGCGCACAAGTGAGGACAAAGTGCGCGGTAAAGGCTCGTGGTGGTTTGTGATGACAGTACTAGAGGTCTGGAGGGTGTGTAGGAGTAATTACTTCGGGCTCTACGGGGCAGGGTGTTACAGGTGGTATCAAAGCAACCCTGCGACAGTGTGTTGACCCGTTAGATATCGGGCGGGCACTTAGCGGGGCAAGATTCTCGGGTTTGATTGAGAGTGTTAAGGGTGAAACAAGGATGTTGCGATCCTAAGTGGGGGTGATTGTAATACCCGAGATTAATTTAAGAGGATTAATAGTACTACTCATACCAATAGAGGTGCATCTCCTTTTAAGGAAGCTCATCACCCAAGAACTCCAAAGTTAAGCGTGCTTGCACGGGAGTAGTCTTGGGATGGGTGACCCCCTGGGAAGTTTCTCGGGGGGCGCACGAGTGAGGACAAAGTGCACGGTAAAGGCTCGTGGTGGTTTGTGAGGACAGTACTAGAGGTCTGGAGGGTGTGTAGGAGTAACTACTTCGGGCCCTACGGGGCGGGGTGTTACAGATACGGTACCACAACTTCAAATACTTGCCCATCACAGCTTTGGTTCAGGTTTCCTTTTACCGCGTCAATGCATATTTTGTGGATAGACTTGAAAGTAGTAAAAGAAGATTGATAGAAGGCCACAAGTACTCGCCACACATATTAGATATCATTGAGAAGAATAAGGACAAGAGATATCATTGTCGTTGGATTTGATATAGGCCGAGGGCTATACCAAGTGTAAACGGGATGTGACGGTCGAACGCTAGGAAAGGGTGGGAAAAACAAATTGTTAATTTGCATAGGCGTACTTGTACTTGTAAGAAGGTAAAAATATATAAGATTCTGTTCTCACATGTATTAGTTGTGGGGGAAAGGGCCAAAAATGACACTGACGTTGTTTAGCAATCTCAGATAGGACACTGAAGTTTAAAGTGGACCATTTAAACACATAAGCCACCTGTTTGGGTTACATTTGGCCACTCCCTAACCGAGCCGTCATCTGTCGTTAACTCCTTCTTCTCCCCCCTAATTAAACGCTACCCAACAACTCCTCAGCAACCCTAATAAAAACGATCAACGACTTCATCCTAGAGGTTCACGTTCGTATAACAACAACATAGAGATGGGTGATGGAGGTTCACATTCGAGGTGGACTGGTGAAGAGAAATAAAGTTGTTGCTCCGTTGAATCGGTGAAGAAGCGAAGCAATATAGAATCTGGAACTCCTACTCGTTTCACCTATTGTAAATGCAGAAACATGAATGGAATGGTTACAGAAGCTAGACTTTGGACCTCATGGACTGATAAGAATCCTGGGAGATGATTCTATGGATGCCCATATTATAAGGTAAGTTTGTAAATTGGTGGTCTTGTTTATATAGATGACTGGAATTAATATATGTGTTTTGTACTGTAGAAGGAGGGGTGCGGTTTCTTTCAATGGCATGATGAGCAATTCACAAATAGAGCGAAAGATGTGATAAATCAGCTGAAATGGGAGAACAAAAGGCTTAGGGGTGCACTATGTCACCCAAATGGCAAAGGGGGGATGTTAGATGACACTGCAGGGCTAGAATTTGATACTGAAAGTTGTCAATTTGAAAGTTCAGATCAAAGGCTGCAATATGATAGTACCAACAATGCTGAGGTTATGAATTTGGAAAGGGAAAGAAAGACAATGAGGAACTACTTAGTTGTACTGTTTTTGTGTGTCCTATTTGCACTGATTTGTATGTTAACTTAGGTAGAAGAATATAGTAGGTTATGGTGTTGTAATTTTGTTTAATGTATGCATTCTGCTATTGTAAACAGATGACAAATCCAATTTGGAGATTTCATATGAATGAATGGGAATGGTATGAAGATATATGTCATTGTGTATGTTTCAATGTGTTTGTCTGAATGTGTAGGGATTATATGTCATTCATATAAAGCTTCATATAAAGCAACCATCCATAA